CATGGATGACCTGAGCAACCAAAAACAGACCTCAAACACACCAAAACATGCATAAAAGCTTCACAAAGCTAGGCCAAAATCAGGTTAGAAACAAGGCTCAAAGCACAAAGCATGTTAAGGCAATTTCATGGCATTACAAGACAAGTATGCTAAGCATGCATAGTGTGTCTAAACCAATTAAAAACAGTGCTATATCATGACAAAATAAGCACAAATACTACCCAAGACATGGCCAACATGAACTTAAAAGAGGTGCTCACACATGAGGCTAAAATGGCCAATATTGAAGGCTACAAGGAGAGGGGATGGCCCTCTCCTTCTTAGGACCTTAAGGCTACAAGGAGAGGTGAGGAGGCCAGGACAAGGTGGTCCCGGAGCTCACCAAAAATGCACAAAAATGAGGCCAAACAAGGCCTAAGAGGGGTCAAACAACTCCAAACACCAAAACAACCTTAAACAACTATTTTAAGCACTTAAAATCAGAACTTTTATATGTTATAAGTTAAGCTTAAAAACAGATGCAAGGATGGCTAAAAGCCTATGCAAAAATGGGTAATAAAAGGGGGAAAATCTCACCCTTGTAGACCTCTTCAAGAATGGAGCTCTAGCAGCCTTTCCAAAATCCACTCAAAAACCTTAGCAACAACCCTTTGGCACCTCAGCAACCAAGGTAAGGTGTGATACTAGGTGTCCTAGTGCAAAACTAAGAACAAATGCACCTTATACACACACAAGAGTGAAATAGAGGGAGATATAGAGATAGATAGATACACAAGACCTAACCCTAATCTCAGAGCTCTCTGGAATTTTTTAGAACCCTTGAGGAGGGAGGAGAAGACCTCCCTTTATAGAGGATCACTCTTGTAAAGCTTACAAAACAAGCTAAGCAAGAGTGAAGTCCCTCCATACATGAGGAGGTGCAAAGTGGGTGCCAGCTATCACAGCTGGCACAAAATATCTACCAAAAGCAGATGCACAGTGATCGGCCAGCCAAAAATGACAAATTGATCAAAGAAACGGTCGACCGACCAAACAGAGTACCGATCGGCCAAACATTTGGCCGATGGCAACAAAACACAGCCGGTGGTCTCAAGCCATGGCCGGTGAGGTGTGGGGATAGCCAACAAGCCATTCCCTGCCCCTCAGAAGCAAAACACAAGTGTTTGGTGCAAAACCAAACACAAAATAGGCAAGTCGAGAGGTCTTGAGGCAAGGTGCGTAGCCGAGACCTCCGAAAACTGAAAACGAACACGAACATGGATGATCACCGAATGTTCAAACGGTGACGTCCAAGTCTTGAAGACGGTCAAAAATGGGGTGTCTACACTCCCCCACATTAACCTGTACAGTATTGGTTGCCCTGGTAGTAGCCGCCATTGCCATTGTTGCCGCGGCGGCGGCGATGTTAGCAGTTGTTTCTTCCCCTATGTCACTGGGCTCAGCATTTCTCAAATTATACCTTCCAGCCATCACCTTCAAGTTAAACACGCAAAAATAATTTGTTCATAAATACTTAGAATAAATTCAACCACTAACTAAACCAGCTAACCCATGTTTCCATAATCCGAGAATCACTTAAACTCTCATCAGTCTAGGGTAACCTAGAGCTCTGATACCAAACTGTCACGCTCCAAAATTTAGACAATTAAATATTAAATTAGGACTAAATCGCAATCAATATTCCATTATCCAAATCCTAGGGATGAAACAAAATCTAACAGTTCTCCTCTCATAAGGTTTAAGTAAATTTCCATGCTCAGAAGAGTACAAGAGATAAAAAAAAAAAAAAAAAACTAACAAAACGCCAATCCTAACTATCTGTCATAGATTTATAACTATCCAATACCTTCAACATTAAAGTAGCAACAACTAGTCAAAACAACTTAAATAATGTAAAGTTAGAAAATAACCCACAATGTCAAATTATGAAAATACTAAGGTCATAAAAAAATAATAAATACATAAACTAATATAAACCATAAACTCAAGAAAACTAAAAAAGTCCAAGAGACATGTCCAACAACTATAGTTATTTTTTGTCACCACCGTAGCTCCAACTAATCTTGCAAAGGAAGCTCGGCTACGCTCAAATAAAACACACTTGAGATGTCAACAGACAAAACATGTCAGTATACAAGTGTTCTGGTATGAGTACAAATATTTGACATCCACGTGTTCACTAGACACAAACAAAAGTACATTTAATTATTGTTACGGGATAAGACAAGTAGTACCACCCACACTAAGACGAAGGGGTAGTTTCTCGAGATACGATGACATTTAGTTTCTTACCCATACACAACTAAATATAAAATTGAGTATACAAAAAAATAAACAAAATAAAAATAATAAATATGGTGGGTCAACCTTGCAAAAAAAAATAGTAAGACCCACCATTCTACAAAAATAAGGTTAATATAATTTAACCGTAAGTAAATTGCTAAAGAAGGATAAAAACCGCTTAATGCTTAAATCATTCGAATTGACCAAAACTTAAAAAATGAAAGTTGTACAGAATCAAATTTCCTAAAAGTCATTGTGAACGAATTTAGTAGAAACTGAACAGATTGAGAGAAGAACTTGATAGAAGAACCTAGACGAAATTTAATTGAAAAATCTTAAGCTGAAAACGAAAAGAAACTGTCCTAAGATGAATTTTTTTTGGAAAAGTACAAGAATAATGTTTTACTTCAGTTAACGTAAAATCAATAAAAAAGAGCTCGCTTTGTGGGTTAAAACAACATCTAACATTTACATTGTTAAAATGAATAAAAACTATTATAACCAAGATCAACCGATTATAAGTTCTAATCGATCTTTTTAATAAAAAAGTTAAAATACAAAAGTTGTCTAAAATTATGTATACATGCCTCTGCCCAAATTTCATAATTTATTAAAGTCGTTTACTATTTTTCAAGATGTACAAATCAATCCAATTCAAACTATACCAATAAGTTCATATTTAATTCTTTATATCTTAACTCCACCACTTTGGCCATCACTTCCACCCTATACATATATTTCATGTGTCTCCCGCATACTTAACACCGCTCCGAAGCCAAACTTGCACGGGGATATCGTCTCGAGTTTGACTTACACTCCCTAGATGATTAGCATATATGTAAGCGTATAAATCAAAGCACTCGTCTACTCCTGAGAACGAGGCAATAATATATATACATAACATCTCATCTACTTATGAGAACAAACATAACAAATGGCGAGTCTAAGGCATTTAAATAATCTCATAATTCTCATTTTTTTTTTTATACACTAATACACTATTTCTCACTATCACTCAAATAAAACAATAATTCATGAAGCCATAGTGAAGTATTCAGAATTTATTTATGGGTTCCTAATTTATTTTAATTTCATATAACCATGAGTGAGATTACAACCATAAAATAAATACATATAAAACCTTAAATCTTGCATACACAACTAATCAAAATAATTAAAATCAACTTATCATCTTCATGCAAATACAATATCAAATAAATAAATAAATAAATAAAAACAACGAAATAAACATAAATCAACAGAAGTAGGTTTTGAACTCACAATTATTTTTAAAGATCAAAAAATCACTTAAAAAATTAATAGAGCCACCGAAATAAAGCCCTAACCCTTTTTATTTTTGTCTCTCTTCCTTACCTCTCTTTCCCGTCTCTCTCTCTCTCTCGCTCTCTCTCTCTCGGCTTGTTGCCGCCGCACATAGCAAACCCTTTTTTTCCCCCCTTTTCTAAAGGGCAGCACACTTAAACCTACAACAATGATACATCCCACTAATTTGGGAGCACTAATGGACCACTAATGAGGTGGAAATTCAAAAAAAAAAAAGAAAAAAAAAACTTAAGACCAAAACATCACATTAGTCCGTGGAACCCACTCTCTAGAATAAATATCTTATATAAAATCTATATAAATAATTTATATATAATTAACTAAAGTATTAAATTAATTAAATATCACATTAAATCATCATGTAGCCACACAATGAATAAAGTAAAAAAAAAATAATAAAGTAATAATAATAATAATAAATAATGACTTGAAAAAAATTAGGGTGACTACATATTATGTCATTAACATTAGCCCCATATCATCGGTTAGTACACTAATTGATATATTAATTGGTACATATAACATTATTCTAAATTATTAAGATATTATCTAACATTAATTTTAGAGAGATTATTTATTTTTAAGTATTTTATCAATAAAAATATATTTTTTTGCTTTTAAATTTTATAAATGATTTAACAATGTCTTAACAGTTTAAAGATTTTATTTAATATTGCATGAAATTTAATGATTTTATTAAATAATGATAAAATATGTTTAAATTTTTGATAATACATATATATAGAGGTGCAAATCTAACCCGACCTGACCCATGTTAAGCCTTGCGGGCTCTCGCCAAAATTCGAGCTAGGCCGGGCCGGCCCATTGGCTAAAAAATTAGACCCACGCCCAGCCCTAAGCCTAGGGATATTCAGGCCTTGGGCGGGCTGGCTTGGTGGACCTGGCCTCGGGCTTGGGTGAGCTTGATCATTTTTTTGTTTTTTTTTTTAATTTTTTCTACTAAACTTTTATTATTTTTTATTAAAAAAGACACTGGGCCTCGGGTCGGGCTTTGAGAGGGCCTTCAGCGAGCCGCTGTGTTGGCCCACGAGTTAAGTTTCAAAATGGTAGCCCAAGTCCAGGGGCTTGGACTAGACTCGGGTCCAGGCCCAAACTGGCCGGCCTATCTCGGACTACGGGTAGACTTCAAGTCGCCCATAGGTCATGAATCATTTTTATATTCCTATATATATATGTAAAATTTTACGAGAGGTGAGTGAAATTTCTTATTTAAATAAATAAAATAATTAATAAGTAATTTCATTAATTTTTATATGGTATCAATAAATTTTGTTAAATATCTTAACAATAAAAGAATTTTGATAATAATTATAAGAATAAAAGAGGTCAGTGTAATTGTTACAATTACAAGGAAAAGTGCTAGTTACCCTTATTTTTCTCAAATTAAAAAGAGGAAGGTTTTTTGGACGGGCCGGGTGACGCCTGTTTTACAAAAATCGCCGCCACGGCACCGCCTTCGACCTCGTTCTTTCTCCGAAGCTTCTCTCTCTCTCTGTTTCTGTCTCTCCGTTCTGCTTTATCATCCTTCTATCTCTCTCCAAAGATGCCACAAGGTTTTCTCTCTCTCCATCTATCTTCCTCTCTGTGTGTATGTGATTTTTTCAAAAAATAATTTCATATATATATATATATATATTTTTATGTATGTATATGGGTGTAGATCTTCCAGGGTTCTATTTTGATGCGGAGAAGAACAGGTACTTCCCTATCAAAGGCCCAATTCCGGGTTCTTCTCGCAATTCTTCGTCTGCTTCGACTTCATATTCTTCTACCACTGCTCCAAAGTCTCTATCCAAGTCCAATCTGGTAATTTCATTCATTACCCACTTTCATACTTGTATTTTTGTACTTAATCATGATACCAATTTGCCTATATATATATATATATGTCTGTTTTGTGATAGACTGTTAAAAAATAGCAAAAGTTCAAAATTTTCCTCTTCAATTGCTAGCTAAATAACTCAACAAAGTTGGTCAGAATCATTATTTTTCTTCCCAACTGTATTTGAGAAGCACTGTTCATATCTCCTAAAAAATGGCAGAAATTTACCAAACCAAGCCTTAAGTCCAATCAAATAGGGGTCGGCTACACGAATCCTTCTTCTCCATGCGTGCCTATCTCCATGCGTGCCTATCAAAGGCCATTTTATTAGTCAAATTAATTAGATCCATATCTCTATTTACAACACTAGCCAAAGTTAATCCGGCCTATCCCGTCCCCTAACACTTCCATCTACTGTTACAGTATCGCATCTGTTTACTACTGTCTTTGTTGGTCTCCGTTGAATATGACCAATCCGTTGAATATGACCAAACCATTTCAATCGATTTTCTCTTAACTTATCTTATTCCCGAATATACTAATTCCTAATTCTGTCCTGTCCTGTCTTATCTTGTCTTGTCTAGTCTTGCCACAAATCCACTTTAGCATCCTCATCTCAGCCACACTCATCTTATCTATATATTTTTTCTTGGTTGTCCAACATTCTGTCCCATACAACATTGCTAGTCTAATAGCCGTTCTATAGAATTTACCTTTTAGTCTACTGGGTATTCGTTTATCGCACATACCCCAGATGCACTTCTCTACTTACACCGTTCTTCCTTAATCCTATGCTCTACATCTGCATTAATCTCTCCCGTTGTTGTGATAATTTACCCTAAATAATGAAAATATTCACTCTTAGGTAGTTTTTGGTTCTCAATCTTCACATCTCCTCTGCTTTCATTGTTAATGTTACTAAATTTACATTCCATGTTCTCTGTCTTAGTTCTACTTATCCGGAATCCTTTAGATTCAAGAGCTTTTCTCCAAATCTCCAACTTTGTGTTAACTCCTTCCCTAGTCTCATCCACTAGCACGATATCGTCTGCAAAAAGCATACACCATGGCACGTCATCTTGAATATTTCTCGTCAACTCATTCATAATTAAAGCAAAAAGACAAGGACTTAAGATCCTTGGTGTAACTCTACAGTGATAGGAAATTCATTTGTCTCTCTAGCAGGCAATCTAATAGTGGTCACCACCCCTTCATACATGTCCCTAATCACATCAATGTAACCTTTTGTAACAATTTCTTCTCTAATACCCACCATATTATATCCCGGGACACTCTATTATTCTCAAGGTCGATAAATACCATATGAATGTCTTTTTTCTTTTCTCTACACTTTTTTACTACTCTCCTCAAAAGATAGATCGCTTCCATTGTTGACCTGCCAGACATAAACCCAAATTGATTCTCTGACACCTCTGTTATATCTCGCAATCGGCGTTCCATCACCCTCTCCCACACTTTCATTATATGACACATTAGTTTGATTCCTCTATAGTTGTTGCAATTCTAGACATCTCCTTTATTCTTATAGATTGGCACTAAAATACTCTTCCTCTACTCATCTGGCATGTTCCTAGTAACAAAATTTTGCTAAACAACCTAATCAACCAAGCAACCCCCTTTTATCCAAACCCTTCTAGCTTCAATAGGGATATCATCGGATCCTAAAGCCTTATTTGATTTCGTCTTTTTAAGTGCAATCTCCACTTCAAAGTTCCTAATCCTGCTATAGAACCTATAGTTTTAGTTATCGTATTACTGGCTATTTCTTCCCTATTGCCGTACCTCCATGTTCCTCATTTAATAGAAACTCTAGAATTTTGTGTATAGAACGGATTAAACGCAAGAATCACTAAAAAAAAATTGAACGAACAAGCGTCCAACAACTCAGATTATTATGTTCCGTTTATACTTTCTTGATGATTTTGTCTTATGTTGTTTTATTTTGCCATATGTAACTTTAAATTAAGTCAATAAAGTTTGATTGTGTAGTATAGTATGTAGTATGTTATTTTGAAATGGGAGAGTAAATTGAGGGAGAGTGTTGTGCCAAAAAATAGCAAAGTCACCATTTGGGCAACATTGTTGAAATATAGCATTTTGCCATTATTCATTGCTAAAATATAACAATAGCTAGCCATTTTGCTAATGAACCATTGGGGATGAGAGAAAGATAACCCGAAGGAAAATCGTGAGTGCCACCTTTGAAGGTACTGTCCATTGATCTGAACAAATCCTCTATTCCACTTTCAAATATAAGTAATACAAAACCCAGGTCTTTGATCTCATGGTGTTTGTAAATGAATTTGAGTCCTGATGATCATCTATTATAGTAGCTGCTTTTATTCCTTCTTTGAGTCCCGCTTTGACTTGAGGTTATGCCTTAGTTGGGTTGTTGAAAAGTTTGGGTTTTTTCTTACTCATTTTATTGCAGGTAAACAAGCCATGTAGGAGAATTGGAATAAAAACAGCCAAGCTACTCCGGGTCAGAGAGTTGCATGGTAAAGTAATCACTTCCAGTAAAGGGAAGTGCAACTTTCAGGAGGAATACCAAAAAACACATGCATCTAAACCTATGGTACGTCTGTAGTAGATTAATTTTGTAATCTTAAATATACTATTTTTCCAGTTCTTTGATTAATTAGCCAGTTATTATCATTGCATCTAAGTCTCATTATAATATCTTGCACAAACTTAAGGTTTGGTATGCATAGCTCAATTTCCAGAAAGGTTTCTGTAATTTCTATAGATCCCAAATACCATAACTACTAAAGCTAAATAAAAGACTATTAGGCCTCGTTTGGCAAGAGGCTATTTTAGCCAATTAGCCAAAAAGTTACTAAATTAGCCAAAAAGCCAACAACCCATACCAAAAAGTCAAAGATTCTCTTTTCTCTCTACTTTTTGCACATTTTTTCGTAATTAGCCAAAAAGTCATCCCAAACATACAAGTTTTTTTTACCTACCTTTTTAGCCAAATAGCCAAAAAGTTACTAAATTAGCCTGTTCCCAAACGAGGCCTAAATATGTCAAACAACATTTGAATCTATAAAATACCTAAATAAATAAATAAAAAACTCATATTAATCATAACATCGTTACATAAAGCCATTATAGATTTGTCCTTTTTCTTCTTTTCATACTTGTCATTTTCTCCTCCGCATTCAAAAAAACTTGACCTTGAGTTTTAAAGTGTTGAAGTATAGAATTCCTTAAGCTTAGAGCTTGCATTTGTAGCTTTCTTTGAGAAGTCTTAAGATGAGGTCTTCCTTGCTTCTCGAGTTAGGGAAGTAAAGAAGAGATTAGCAGATTGATCGTTCCAATTGTGCCATCAAATTTCTTTGGAATGACAAAATCAATAGATGGGGCAAAGTGATTTGAAAATGTATTCATGAATTGCGGTTAAACATGAACCACTGTACTGTGCTCCTCTGTTGTAGCCTTTTCCAATTGTGTATTATGCGCTTCAAGTTCGTTGGAATATTCTATTTCTTGGAAGATGAAGGGTAGAAGTTTACATTACATCTCTCATCTATTTTGGTTGTTCTAACCTTTCTATTTTGTGTTTTAAATTTTTGGGAGAGAGATATGATTATTTTTTTTTCTCCTCCAAATTCATTCTTTTCCTATGTGGGTATGCTTTTAGGAAATGAATCCTAATGTTTTTAAGTGATTTTGACTGTGTTGTAACCCATGTGATTTGACATTAACATGTAGTGTAATGTTTCTACTTGCTATTATCTTTTCTGTATTTATTTGTTCTTATTTTTGCGTCAGAGGTGTCTTTCGTCTTTTGTCTTCATTGCTTAACCTTATGTAGTATTTTATTTTAGAGAAAGTGACATAAATAATTGTTATTTTGTTGTCTGTTTCATTGTAAGTTTCTCCTCCTATGAGATTTTTTTTTTTTTTTGGTGATTGATATTTTAAGCATAACAGATTTGGAAGTACCATGGGACAAAAAGTATTGGTGATGGTGCTTTGGAACAGATACATGTTAATATAGGCATGCCTCATGGCCTAATTGGAACAGACATCCTGTTAGCAGGCAGTGCAAGTGGCTACTTGAGGTATGTTTAAGGTCGGTGGGAAGTTTTTACGTTTCTTATCATATTTTTAAAACCATTTATGTGGAGTACTCCCGCTCCCTATAGATTTCTACTTCTGTTCTCATTCTCTGAAGATAGCATTTCTGTTCTTATTTGTCTTATTGGTGACTATGTGATTGCTTACTGATGATATCCTTGTTGCTATCACTGTCAGAATGTTTTCATTGACAATACGTTGTAACCAGACTTCATATTTTCATGGTGTCTTTTATAAGTTATCATCTTTAAAGTTTGGTGGTCTTGCACTTGGTTATCAGAATCCCAATCCGGATCTTATGATCCTACAATTTTACGATCCATTTAGGCACAATCAATCCGGATCGTGTAAAAAATTCTTTATAGGTAGGATATTTCGCTCTTGGTAATGGGATCTTATAAGATCATGGAATCCCGATCCGAATCCGATCCTATCTGATCCAATTTACAAGCTTTGTTTTGTATTGTATAACATATTTTATTGTAAATTTTATGTTTGTTGTCTAACTACCAATTTATGTTGTCAAAATAAGTAATAAAAATTAAGTAGTATTGAATCAAATAGACTAAGCAAAACAAACATTTGAATATTGCGGTAATTTAAGAAAATTAAGTAGTCGGAAAAACAAACTTAGCTTTAACGGAGTCTGAGGAGGGCAAGATGATTGTAACTTTATCCTAATTTGTGGAAAGACTATTTTTGTGACTCGAATCCGCTCCACCAGGGATAATAACGACAAACCTTATCATCCGATTAAGTCGATCTTTTGAGTTCTTAATCTATTTTCATATCCAACTTTGTTAAATATTTTTTTCTTTACTTTTTATGCATTATTGTAGATTGTAAAGTATTTTGTTATAGAATTCTTCTTTTTCACATTCTTTTTTGATGAAACACAAAACTTTTACCATCGAGTTTTCTATTGTATAATATTATATGTACATTTTACATGGAGTATTATATTTTTCACAATATCTTCACTTCTTTTTAATAGAATATAGGCTCATTTTGTATAAATTTTTTGAGAAATGTTTATTTAAATTAAATTATTACGTAATTTGTCTTTTTTGGTAGAATCTTACGATTTTCGATGCGATTTTACGATCCGATCCTGTAAACACCTCCAATGACCTAACATGGGATCCCGATTTTAACAACCTTGCTCTTGCAGTCTTTGTGAAGTCGGAAAAGTTGGGCAACAATTTGATTATGGGGACAAATTCATGCCAGATTGCGTATGGCCTCTCAATACAAGAAAACGAGAAGTGTGTGTGGAAGTACCTGTACATCTTTGGAGGCCTCCAGGAGCTTCAATGCTTATGTCCTCAAATATATCTTGTATAAAGATGTGCGGGAAACATTCTAATACTGAGAGTTCATCCATGCAACATGTTCTGTATCCTTCAGTGATATTAGATGTTCATCAGCACTTGTCTTACTGTTTGTAATGAAATTGAGTTTCTTAATTGCTTGATGCAGTAAGTAAGTATATGTTTTGATCATCTCATCTCTAGATATTGGAGGGTCCTCAGCATGTATGTTGTGCGGAAACAAGATAGACAGTCGATGTTGTGTATATTATCATACTTTAGGCCTGGAAACCCAAAGGTCGATATGTTTCATTTTGCCTCAATATTCAACGTTTTTATAGGGTGTACAGAAATTTAAGCTGTAGAAGCTTCCCTTGTGGCAATTAAAGCCTCTTGTGTTGTTTTTTGGTGTTATAAGCCAAAGGTTGTTTGGATTCCAAGCCTAGGTTTGGTTTCTCTAGATTTTTGGCATGTTAATTGGTTCATAAAGTTTCTGTAGGGTAGATTTTGGAAAAAAAAATGGTGTACCTACTATACTTATTGTGGCTTTTGTCTTTATAGTAGTACAAGTTATTATCAATGTTACATAGACTTTTCAAATAAATCAAATAACCATGTTGGACACACCGACACTTGGACAAGGGTGTGGGATACACTCCATCGGACACTTCTTATATTTGTAGTTATCATTTTCACTATATGTATATAATATTTTATAATTTCTATAAAATGAGTAAAATGCATTTTTGACTCTATATGTTTTTCACATAATATATTAAAAATATAAAAATTATATGATCCCTTTTGGCTGAGTCATGTACCTTTAAATTTGAAGTTTGATAGGTGTGACCTCTGGACTCCACCACACCAGACACTACCCAAGTCAATGTGACATACATTATTATGCAAATTATGTTTTTCTTGTGACATTTGACTGACTTTAACTAAAGAACAGAATAACCACTCTGGGATCAGAAACATCTGGTGGATCTGTCAATGTATTGAACCTCAGCGATCCCTTAGATTATGATCTCCCTGTGTTGGAGAGAAGAGCATCCAAGGTTACTTCGTTCAATTGTACAGTTTGGACTGCTGATTGCAGTTCTGATGGGAGTCAAGCCGTCGTTGGCAAGTTCTTTACCATCCCCTTCATCTGATTTTGTAATATCATTATGAAATTATAATATTCTCTGTCTTCATCTGATTTTATTATTATGAAATTATAGTCTCTGTCTTCCCTCCATTAGTTTGAAAGCATCTTCTTCTTGTACTGTTGAAATTGTCAAAGTTTTAATGCCTATGCCTTATGTTACACGACCTCTTCTAAATTTGTGAAGTACCCTTGTCCCGCACTCACAATTGGGTAAGGGCTAAGAAGCACAAATACTTCTATGACATAACACTAATTAGAATTTAAAGACATAAATTCCATAACTTAGGGTAAAGGTATGCTATATATGTCCAACATGTTGAGTTGGATGCGACACTTAAGACCCTCAAACTTACACCCGACACCCATAGCTCATACACAAGCTCCATATATAAGAGGATACAAATACAACATTGTCATATTTCCCTGTACTGGAAATCCATGTCAAAATTCATTTGGCATGGGTGGTGGGTTTAAGTTACCCAAGATTTACATGTTCATTCCTGGCTCCTGTTTGAGTTCTGCACTTTTATCTATTGATTATTATTTTTACTATAGGTTTTGTTTTACCTTTATTAGCATGCTTCATTAGTTCATAAGTAGTAATGACATTAACAGGTTGTGGCCCTATTGAAAATGACAATCAGGACTGTGTTAAATGACTAATATTTCATGTTTTGCTCCTGTTTGTTTGGTTCTTACTTTTGGTTGGTTTAGGCACCGATCTTGGAGCTGCCTTGGTAAATCTGGAAACTGGTGTGCAATCATGGGTGTTTCGTTGTAAAAGTGATGTTTTGTCACTACAACTTGATCATTCGGTAATTATCCACATTTAAGATTCCATACAAATGTTTCTAAATTGTCTATTTTTCACGTCTGCTTCCTTATTTTTTTGGATCACTAAGTGGATCACTCTTTCTTTCTTTTTGGTTTTGCCTAGTTAAGAATTCTGAAGTTACACAAACTTCATATTAAAGTATTTGCAACACATTAACCTAAAGAAAACTTGACATAAAACCTATTCGACTAAAATCTTAATTCCATTAGGTTCCATGTGGCACCCATATGTAATTCAGAATTTACACATCAACAGTTAACAGGCTTTGCATAATCAAGCCACCAACTTTTTCCTTGGTAGATATTGGCCTCATCTCAAGATTTATAAATGGCATTACTGTACTTTTATATATTATCATTACATTTTTTATTTGATAATTTTTATCTATTATCATTACATGACCTTTGTCTGTGGTGAACGACTATCACTATATGATTTCAATGTAACAAACTCATCTCTTGTTGCAGGGACGGATTGTTTTATGTGGTTTAAGAAATGGAGCAATTGTGACAGTTGATACTCGCCAAAAATCAGAAGAGTTTTCTGCTAGACTTACTAGGCACCGAATTCCTTACCCTTCTCGTGGAACTTGTAAGCCTTCAAGTAGAATCACTCAAAATTTTACTAAACAGTGGTTCGAGGTACTTTTTTTCTATTACAAAAGTTACTTTTGTTCTTTTTCTGATTTTTTGGTTCTTAGTATATAAAATTTATTTTGAGAAGTCCAACGCACCGGCCTAAAACATGATTTTAGAAGAATGGTTATGTACTTCAATTGAAGGTTTTTATATGATAAAATTTAAATCTTGAATATTGAATTCTTGGAATAATTGTCAATATTTAAATGGAGATGACAACTCTCTTCTGGCTATTAATTTGTTTTCTGCATGTTCATATCTGATGATGAGTTAACTGCTGAAATCTTTTAACACATAAGTTTTCCTATATTCCAGGGCACGGATAAAATGTTTGCGTAACCCTGTTCCTTCTCCTGAGCATTTTTAAAATTTTTAATACCCATCTTAGGTGTCAATGCACATCAGTCTTTTGATGGAATTCTGCATATTGATGACTCCGAAATCTCATGTTGTGCAGCTGAAAGGCAACATACTTCACTCTGATATCGTATATATGCCTTCATCTATCTCCTGGTTAGTGAGTTTTGGTACCACTTTGTTGTTTTTCATTCCTTTATTTTTTTTTTTATAATTCTTTTATTAAAATGCGGCTATTCTGAAATCGTAGTTTGGCATCACTTCAGTTGTATGATCGATACTTCTTGTCAAGCTCCATGGATGGATCAGTAAGTCTTTGTTATTGCCTTTAGTTCATGAAGAAGATTATATTAGGAAAACATGTTTCTGCATAGTATAAAATTGATGGCAAGTTTATTTGTCTAGTTATGTTGGTAACCTCATTAACACATCTTCCCCCTCATTCGCCACGGGCGGTTCCTCCTCTTCCATGTGGAAAGGAAAAAAGAAGGGGAAAAAAAAAATCATATCCCACTCTGTCTTTTCTTTCTTCTCTATTTTATGCTTGGTACAAATCTGTTTGCTGTTGAGAAACTAAGTTAAATAGAGAATGCATTCATTACTGCTCTCTTTGCTAAAGCTTCTAGTTACAGTCTAATATGCTGATTAAGTTGACTTATAGTTAAATGTTTCTGATGCTTCTTCTAACTAAAATTGAAACCCTTTCCACTACATGAGTCCCCCTGTTATGTGTTCTTGGTTGGATTGCATTACTTGTTTTCTCCAATTAGTTGCACACTCACCTGAGTTCTGCTTAAGGTGCAAAGTAGCAATGATAGGGTAGCTAATGCTTGGGTTGGGCGTTCATGTCTGCAGATCAGACTCTATGATCATCGTCTCATCCGGAGAGGGCCCTTACAATCTTATGAAGGGAACATGAATTCCCATACTCGTATACAGCTTGGAGTTGACCCATATGAAAGATTTTTCATGTCAGGTCTGTTCCAGCATTCCATGCTAATAATGCATGCACTTTTGTTGATGCCAGTTCTTAGAAATTTAAACTTGTGTATCAATATATTTCCCTTAGGTGGAGAGGACTGCAATTTACGGTTATGGAGTATTAAGTCTGGTGAACTGCTATTTGAGGATAATTTTATGGATTCTGTCCCCTCAATTGTGTGCTGGCCGAAAGGTACATCCTCTCACCCTCCATTTGTTTAGATGATGTTTGATTCATTTCTCTTTCCCACTTCCCTCTTCAACAATAATATCCTTCAACTTCTCTACAGAACTTCCAAGAGTTCACGATGAAATGCAAAATCAAAGAGAAGTATACAGCCAGGATTATAGTCAGGGAGCTTGGCTCGGATCCCAAGAAGGACTATTTTACATGTGCTGGCCATGACTTGTGAACGATAGCAAAATACAGGTATAAGGTCTGGTGTATGGTTGATCGTTATACTTTTCCATGATTTAAGTCGCTTGTGTTATTGAATACTCACAATGCAAATGCCTTTCAGGGCTAATCCTCACTGACTTCTGTAAAGTAATGTTTTCTGGCGGTTGGCTTGGAATTGAAGTACACCGCATGCTGATAATCACAGACGTGTCAACTGTAAGTCATTTATCACCCACATTAAACACTATCAACATCTTTAGGCTAAAGTAGGGCTGCAAACTGCAATCTTCAGAATTGTAAATGCCTTTTCTGTTTTCCCTAGTTTCTTTTTTTATTTAATTTGTTCAGGCGAAGAATTGATTCCAATGTTAGAAAATATTTTGTGTTAATGGCATAGGATATGCTTTTGTTAGCAAAACATGTAATGTTTTTACTTGTAGCTTGGATGTCTGATCTTGTTCATTTCATGGTTTCATATGGTTGTAGCACTTAATCAAAATTCAAAATCAGTGATTTATAATTATCATATCATTTAAGTTCCAAAAAATTTCTTGGTAATTTTTTGCTTTAAAATAGGGTTATCTTGATATAGATATTTTTGAGTCATTAGAGGATTTCAATCATGTTTTGGTTTGCTTTTGTGTTTTGGGAGTGAAAATCATCTCATTATTTTGATTTTTGAGTTTTCATTTGACCCTTGTTAAACTTTTGTAACGAAGACTCAACCTTGCATATCTCTCTCTCTCTCTGTGTAACCTTTTCAAGGATTGGGAAACAGTGGCAACAAAACTCAGAAAAAGTAGAACAAACCATGAAAAACAACAGCAGTCAATTTCATTTTTATTTTAGAAAGAATAAAAAGGATTGTCTGTCTCCTTTAATTAAAGTAATTGAAGTGACATTTTGCTTTGCTTTGCTTTGCTTTTTAACACACAAAAGTGAACTTGGGTTTAACCGCTCTGCATGCCTATTGTATTCCATCTCACTCCTACTATTATTGGAATATTGCGTGATATTATTTATGTGGTGTTTTAAATTAATCATAAAGTGAAAATTTGTACGAAATATGTTAACAAATATTTGTTAGAAAGTTAGGAGACAGAATAATTCACTTAGATTGTTTTTGAATTATGATTTTGGATAAAAAAATTAGAGAAGGGAAAAAAAAAGGTGTGTGAAATGTGAATGAATTGTAGTTAAGTTTCATCCATCTTTTTTTTTTTTTTTTTTCCCTTCGTTTCTCCTCTTTAAATCTATATCTAAATTCATGACATCCAAACACAGCAACTTTAGTTTGTGTTGTGTCTCTCATCGATCTAGAATATCAAGTACACAATGTCACATGATGTTTGGACAGTATCTATAATTTTCCATATTGATCTATATTTTTCACATATTTTTGACTTCTTCACCTTTGTGTTTTGTATTTATTTAAAATATTTACATATTTAAACAATTGGAATGCTTTGAATGATGATATATCAGTAATGTCGTGATATTACAAGTGTATTTAATTATTTATATATATATATATATATATATTGGAGGGGCACGTGGCATGCATGCAAACCAAATAGGATGATAGAATTATTTAGATTGATCTTGATTAGAATATGTTGAGGAAAGGGGGGAAAAAAGAAAGAAAGTTCAAGAAATAACACAAAACTTTGTCTTAATACTGATCTTTTTATTGTCTTCTTTGGACGACAACTATAGCTTAGATTGGCTTTGAGCCTTTGACTAATGATATGAAAACACTAAATTAGCTTTTAATATCATCCTTAAGAACACTATTTCACCAACAATTCCCATTCCAAAACACTTTTTAACCTGTCACCTTCATTGAACACTATACTTTGCGATCTTTTAGTATAATTTTTTTTTCTTCAAGTTAAAGGTTGACAAGTAAAAAATATCAATTTCTTTTAAATTATTTAAACAATTTTTATCTCATAAGTTAATGAGATTCATTTTCAAATTATTGTGATTAATAATTATAGATGTGTAAATTAAACATTGCATTTTGTAAATTACGTCAAATCTCACTTTAGTCTTTCGTTTTTCAATTGTACTAATTAACCCTTTATACTTTCACTCAAGTTGCAATGTGATTGTTCCGTTAATTTAGTGTTAAATTTGCTAACAAAATAATGTGACTCTAATATAAGACATTTTTAGGGTAAACTTATAATTTTCTTTCCTCTTCTTATATATTCATTGTATTTTCTTTCTCTATTGTATTTTTTAAATCCACTACCACTGACTACCCCTTGTTTGGCACTTCCCCACCATCCATGGCCACCACCTTCCCTTTTCTACCCACAAATATAAAATAAAGTAAAAAGAAAATATAATAAAGAAGAAAAAAGAATAAGAAAATTAACATTCAATCGTTAATTTTTATCGACAGATTTAGCATAGACTAACAAGATGACTATATTGCTTTTTATTTCAAAAGTGGAAGTGATTGATTGTTACAATTAAAAAATGAAAGACCAAATTAAAATTTGTTGTAAAATATAATTTGTTCATCAAAAAATATCACTGTCGCATTATTTTTTATATATTAGTTTTTTATACAAAAATTGTGTATGCTTCACATTTTTATTAATTAAAAATCACAACCAATTCAAATGTAAATAACCAAAAAGTAAAAAATGTATAGAATAGGATGGGGGTTAATTGTTAGTTGATGAAAGCAACAATGGAATAAAGGTCCAATTTCTTTCAGAATTGCATTCAATGCTTGTCCAAAATTTTGAAAAACACATGGTCTGCAAACCAAAGTTGTCAAGTCCTTCCATGAATGAACAAACAAAGAGAGATAGTACCGAACATCAAGAAGAGGATAAAAAACACTGACTACCAAGGCACAAGACGACACATACCACCCTTTTAATGGCTACACAGCTTTTCAATGAAGAAGGGAGGGGCACAACGGCTATTTTCAGAATAATATAAGGATCATTTGGCAAATTCAGATGAAGGAAAGGGACCCTTTTTTGGATTACCTATATGGCATTTACCAAGCTTAAAGCAGTTTGATCTGAAATTGATATTTTGGATATAATAAAATCATGACAAAATTTTAAAGGACCATCTTGGTCGATTTTTGATTTGCTGATTTTACTTTTTGATACTTGAAGTAATTGCTAGACAAAGTAAAATATTTGAAAAAATCATGCTGTTGTACAAGAAGTTGTCATGTTGTTGTGCAGTTTTTTAGAAATTGAAATTGCATGACAAATTTTATGAAATAAGTTGCATTTTATATAATATAATAGAATATATATATATATATATATATTGTATATTAAATCGATGGTATCTCTATTTTTATTGATACTTCAATTTGGCCTCTTGTAGTTTTAATTTGGATAAATTACATTGACCTTCTTTGAAATTTAGAGAATATGCAAAGAGTCTTATAATTTTGATATAATTATACTGATTTATTTTTATTTTATTTATTTATTTGTTTATGTATTTATTTTTTTTCAGGTTAAAGGGACCAAAACCAAGGTAGATGATGTGAATATATAAGATAAATAAGATAAAATATACATTTCAGTATAAAAGGAATGATAATATTTTTTTCATCCATATGACTAATGCATTTTTGATGAAAATAGGTTAGTGTAATGTGAATTAAGAAATTAAGGGAGCCTAATATAAATATGTCAAACTTATAGAATTTCCTGTATTTTATTTAAATCTCAAAAGAATTTAATGTAGTTTACCTTTTTAATTGTCATTAAAAAATGTCATGTACGATTCACGTCAGCATTTTAGTGATTTTTATAGTTTCATTTGAATTTTACTTTGATTTTCTATTTTTATACTTATCTTTTTTCCTTTTGAAATATTAACGGATAATGACCATGGGACTATATTAAAACGAAAATAGAAGTATAAGGTTAAAATTGATGAAAACTATATTCTAGGGATCAAAATGAAATTTTGTTACAATTATAAGGACCAATAAATAATAAATAAAAGTGTAAAGGACTTCTACACGCAGAACAATGGATTTTGTAGTTCTTCCTTTTGCTTTTTATAATTGCATGCAGTCTTAGTCTGAACACATAAAGCTCAAAACCCACATACATATTTTCATCATTATGTTCCCCAGCTTTTTTTTTTTTTTTTTTTTTGTCATAAGCCCAAAAATGCTATATTACAGGATTTTCTATGAATGCTTTTTTTTATAAATTGAATAGATATATACCTTAATAAAATTTTGAAATGCAAACATGATAATATCACATTGGTTTTAGAACAAAAGTTTATGAAAAAAAAAAATTGTTTGTATAACACCATTTTGCTGAATTATCCTATCCTTTAATCTTAATGCTAAAATAGTGGATAGTTTTTAGTTCTTGTGGGCTGGGAATTGATTATTGTGATACTCACGATAAATGAATAATTGTAAAATATATTAGTAGATGAGTTATTTTTTGTCTTTGGACTATTTCACAAAAATGAGCCAGTATTATTTCACAAGTAATTTTTTTTTTCTTCTTAAAGACAGTGCCCTATAATGATCCAAGATTACTAAATAATTACTCCATTAGCATGCCACAAATTACCAATTTGGGTTGTGTGGCGATTTGGACATTTAACAATTGAGCTATATATAAATATATATATATATATATATCCACATCATGACTGTTCTGAAAAGATAGGAACCAAATATATCATTACATGAATCTCATATATATGTACATTCTCAAGGCTAAATGATTGGAAACCAATAATAACAACAATAATGAGAATGATATGTTTAACCAACTCCCTGTATATGTAGGTTTGATCATGAGAAAAAAACACAAACTACAAACAAGAACACGATTGAACTTTTTTTTTTTTTTTTTTTTCTTTCACCTTTTTTTTTTTTTTTTTTTTTTTTTGTAAAAAAAAAAAAATTGCTCATCACTCACCTATTTGAAATGGGATTTGGACCACTTGGAACTTCGTGGGCACTGGCATTAAACACTCCTCCTCCCCGTGCCGGTAACGGCGATGAGTGAACCCTAGAACTCCCTCTTGTTTTTCGATCTGCTTGAAGAACTTTGAATCCATTCGTCTTTAGATTTTCACTCGCGACGCGTCTTTGAGTACTCAATCCTGTGCTGTTTTTCTTGAAAACTTCACCTCTTGAAGTAACTGGTGCGAAAAGAAGAAGTATGAAGAGAAGGGTGAGAGAGGCAATATATGGAGAGATGGAGGAGCTGCAGGTCATTTTGCTAGGAGTACTGCCATCAATAGCCATGCAAATTGAGGCACAAAGGTCATCCAAAATGAATCAAACATACAAGATTTGAGTACTTATAACCCTAGCTAGGTTTGTCAACTTGAAAGCTAAGAATGGAAAAAACCTAGCAAGCAAGTAGAGGTTACGAGTATGGAGATGTACACCTTGTGGAGCTAGCTAGAGAGAGAGAGAGAGAGAGAGAGAGAGAGAGAGTCATGAAAGATAAAGTGAGGGAAGGAGATAGGTTGCTTTAGCTATGTGTTGTTGTGAGGGCGGTGGTGGT